CTCTCTCTCTCTCTCTCTCTCTCTCTCTCTCTCTTCTCTCTCTCTCTCTCTCTCTCTCTCTCTCTCTCTCTCTCTCTCTCTCTCTCTCTCTCTCTCTCTCTCTCTCTCTCTCTCTCTCTCTCTCTCTCTCTCTGATTCTCTCTCTTTCTAGCTCTCTCTCTCTCTCTCTCGTGCGCGACCGCTTCGTGTTCAGAGCGTAGATGTGGTTTTTAGCCTTAGATTTTAGCTAGTAGCTTTTCACCTTTACTAGATGCAACTACCAATCTGAACGCCTGGCTAGTTCGACTGTCCATGCATTCAAACCAAAGATTCTAGAGTGCCGTAGTTCACTCTACGATCTTTGATTCAAACTAACTGTATTATCGGTTTAGAGTGATTGGCAGATGGATCTAGCCAATCAGCATTGTGATAGAGACGTTCGAAAAAATGTTGCTTAGTAACGAAGTGCGGCAAAGGGCGCGGCTATCTCGCTCTGATCGTTAGTTCAGTTCACTTGTCTATTGAGCAGTCACTGGGGAGCTATACCGACCATAGAAATATATAGAGAATCGAACTAGTATTGTTTCTATGCTGCCGAAGATGCATAATGGCATTGCGATGGTATTTTGGATGGCAACCCAGCGGTGACAAACCACTAGCGTTTGAAGGCAGCTTCGAAGAAAGAATAAGAATAAGAATAGTTCATAATTACGCCCCGTATAGTTTAACCTTCCCCCCCCCATCTCGCGGTGTCCTTAGAAGCAGACTGATTTTAAAACAAGTGCCACCATTTCAATGTTACAGTACTACGCCACACTGGACGCAGTCCGTCACGTGACGCATCCATCGCATCAACAATGGCGCAGCGAAACGAAAATGCCGCGGTGATCGCCAGAGGGCGCGGTTGTTCCACTTCTGCGTCTTCGCCGCTGCGAGTCAAGGAGGAGAGCGGCGGTGGCGAGCAGCAGCCACTGCGAGCGTTGCCGACGTCACGGTCACGTGACCCGCGTCGCCGCGAGTGCAGGAGGCTTGCTGATATGCACAGGTAAGCACGGGGGGGGGGGTTATCTAGGTGAGTGCATTAACAATGAACAACAACAACGACTCGTGTGCACGCAGCGTGGGTTGAAGCGTCAAATGAAGGGCCTGAGCGAGAGAGCGCCGATCGTTTGGGACAAAGCATCGTGCACGTTTTTTTTCTTTCACGCGAGATATATAAGCACTGGTCGGTTCTCACTGTATGTCTGTCTATTTACGCTCAGACTGTCCGAGGGTGTCGCGGGTTCAGCAACGGAGGCGGGTCCACCGACTGAAATGGATGCGGTCTGCTCCGATGACAAGCTGATCGCAAGAGGCCGCCACCGCGATGACTTCACCGGCCGTGACGTCACACTGAATCAGTTGAATCTTTGCGATAGCATTCGCGATGACGTCACGCGCCATTACGTCACACATCGCGAGTCGAACGGCAGCGGCGAGGGTCGCGTGGGTGACGTCATCGACGATGACGTCACGTGTCGCGAGCTCACTGGCCGGAGTCACGTGAACGAGGAGAGAGGAGGCCAGAGCAGAGATTTATCACGCCAGCCGCGTATCGCCTCGACACCGACGCTGCCGTTGCTAACGGCAACGCGGGAAGCCGAGCAGCGCAGCAGCATCGGCGGCGGCGGGGAGCAGATTGATGAAGCCATAACGGACTCGGAGAGTGGGAAGATGCTGAGAGGGCCGCACAGCTTCGCGATGGCGCTCGCGGCGGGCGCAGCGGAGCCTCGCGACCTGTACGCACCCGGCTGGCCCTACCCGCTCTCCGCACCCTTACCGCTACCGCTAGTCGGTTCCAACGCCGCTATCAATCCGCTCCTACCCTACCCGTTCTATCCTCCATCGAACCTCTACCAGACACCTCTGCCTTTCGTCTATCCATACGTCTACTCGCTGACGGAGGCAGAGTACCGCAGCGCAATGAACGCTGGCGTCAACAGCAGTCCACGCTCTCGATCGCTGAGCTTCAGTCGGATGAAATGCGATGCGCCGAAATCGAGCGAGCGCTCGCCGGAGCGACCGCCACCGATACGATCCGTATGGCGGCCATATTGACGCGTGACGCGTTCGTCGCTCGTTAACGCGCGCGTGAGGCGGAGATCTGTTTGCGTCGAATATGCTTCATCGTGATTTTGTCGATATCGTGCGGATATATGAATAAATGAATGAATGAATGAATGTGTGATGATGTATGAATGCGAGATAGATGGTGACAGGAACGTCGGACAAGGGCGTACGGAAATTATCGACGCGTCGCGCAATTAGACTACGCGTGATTTGGCCACCCGCTTCCGCGGTGCAATATCCTGTCGGGTTATGCTAAGAATTCGCATATTAAATACAGTGCGGCTCCGATATCCATAGAGTGAGCTTAAATCTGACCGGAGCACGTTGTCACAGGTGTACACATGGGCAAGGTGAAAGGCGTCCGCGACTATTTGTATGTATTCGCAACTAATGATGTTGGATTATGTGTGTGAGAACGGAAGACGTTAGAATGCAGGCAGTGAATATGATTAAGCGTGCAATGATATACGTGTAGCGGTAAGAACCTTTTAGTATATTAATCGGCTGCTTGATGAAAACAACGAACAATGCAATGTAAATAATTAAAATATATATAGCTTCTATATTATAACGTTAACAGTCATATTACATACGTAAACGTCACACTGTATAATTTTCACTACTTCCTATACCTCTGATATGCGGATTGTTATGTGATTTTACGTCTATAGACCTACTGCTGTTCCTAAATACATCAGGTGAGTAAAAGGGAGCCGATCGTCATAGTCGAAATGTTAGTTATTCGACAAAGCCAACTTAAGCTGATACACCACACAAAGCTGTTACACACACAGAACGTATTAAACTACCATAATAGTTAAATGAAATCGACACTGACACAATAAATGTTTTTTTCCTCTTTTGTAGTTTTGCTTAATAGCTCTCGTGTGTGTATCTTAAACACGCGCACACGCGAACGCACACACACACACGCACATGCAAACATATACACGCACTCACGCACACACACGCACACGTACGCGCACACGCACGCGCGGACACGAGAACGCGCGCGCGCACACGCACACACACACACACGCACTAACGCACACACACGCACACGTACGCATACACGCACGCGCACACACACTCATGATCACGCGCACACACATATATATATATACATACATACACACACACACGAACACCATTATTCGTATACGTATAGTAATAACCTGCAGAATAATGGCAACAACGATAAATAGATTGACAGCAGTGTGGCTTCGATGATACAATCAACGGATTTACGATGGGTATCTGACCAGAGTTGGCTCTTATCCTTTTAATGGTGACATCAAAAATTTACTAGCGAGACGTGCACGTACACGCGGTAAACCCGTGCAGGCACACGCAGCAATTACGTGCACGCACACGCAGCAATCACGTGCACGCACACTCAGCAATCACGTGCACGCACACATGCACAGCAATCACGTGCACGCCCACGCAGCAATCACGTGCACGTACACGCAGCAATCACGTGCACGTACACGCAGCAATCACATGCACACACACGCAGCAATCACGTGCACGCCCACGCAGCAATCACGTGCACGTACACGCACCAATCACGTGCACGCATACGCAGCAATCACGTGCACGCACACGCAGCAATCACGTGCACGCACACGCAGCAATCACGTGCACGCACACGCAGCAATCACGTGCACGCACACTGCAAGGCATTAAGTAGATTACGACAAATGATTGCACATAACACTTCTACGGTATGTTTACTTCTTGTATAGCTCTGCATACTCACCCACCATACATTTCTAAATATTCCATTAATATCTCCAAGAGCCCATTCATTATACTAATATTACGGACCTATAATTCTACCAAGAGCGAGATGATATGACATATTTACAGGACTCGAATAAGCAACTAGCCATTTGCGTAATCCGTCTCTGATACTATTAGCACAATGCTATGATCGGTTCGATTCTGACGTCGCGTGGAATAAGATGTCACGACTGATGCAAATGCATTACTATAATTTAGTGCTGTACTTTCATGGTTTCACATTTCATAGCATTATAGCTACCGAGCTGCCCCTCATTATCATCAACAACATGCAGACATGATGATGACGATAAACTCAATCAATATACTCCTCCTAATCACAGTTCATCGGGCGAAGCAAGCCTAATCGGTGCTCTAGCTTGTGCAGAAGCCTGTATAATTATACCGATCTTATTACCTAGAGCAGAGAAGGAAAATTTTCGCTGCGACGCGTAGTCGCACGAGACCGTGCGGCTAATATCCCAATAGTAGATTTATTGTAGCGAAATAGTTCTAAGGAGCTATGAGCAGCGCCTGGGAAAGTATTTAGAGAAGGCGGATAGCTATGCGTGCGTGACTGGATCAGGCCGGTTATGTCATAGCCGTATGTAAATCCACACCACTGAGAAGATCGTTTCAAACTCTCTATTGGGATACCATAACGGGACGCTCATACTTTAGGTGAAGTTGCACTTATGCGGTATGTGATACCTTATTCAATCCCTTATATTATCATACTGTTCTTTTATGAATACTACGTTTGGGTTAAGTGATAATAATTGTTTTAATTTTTAAAGGCACGTACCGTACAATAATATTTCGTTAGGCTCATTTTACGTTACGGATAAATGGATAATGTATGAAGATAATAGATAATATCCACGATGCCGATAATGAACGTAATGCCGTTACATAGCGAATCTCTGACCAATCAACGTGACAAATCCATGCCTACGATAATCTAATAAATAACACGTCGAATTCCTAGTTAGTACAAACCAATATATAACTCAATGATCACAAACAAACGTGGATATATAAGAATATTCGCTCACAAAATCACGCCTTGTGCTGCGCGCACGCACGCGTGCACACAGACGGGCGTGCGTACACACACACACACACACGCGCGCGCGCACACACACACACACACACACACACACACACACAAACACACACACACACACGCGCGCGCTCGCGCGCACACACACACTCACACACCACCGCTACGACTACGACTACCCACACCACCACCTCCATGGACTATCCACTCCCTCACACCACTAATACGACCCTACTTTCCCCAAAACACCACTACGACCCCCCATCCCACCCAGACACATACACACACACCACTACCACCGCCACCACCACCCCGCGCGCGCTACTACAGACTGCTAGAGTTACCGCCGGTAGTGGGCGCAGTCGTGTAGGAGTAGCAGGCCGACGAGCGGTTGGGGCGTGGAGAGCGTCGACAGCGAAACACCTCCTTCATGCTGGTCCGGAACCGGTCGGATAAGATCGCGTACAGTACCGGATTGATCCCGCTCTGCAGGTAGAGAAGCACAAAGCTGACGCCCGTGAGCACGGGCAGACATCTGTAGTAGATCGGAAAGGGCAGCAGCACGGTGACGTGGTACGGCAGCACGCAGACGGCGAACGTGACGACGACGACGATCAGCAGACGAACGACGCGCTTGCGCGCCAACATGGCCGTCTCATCCGGCGCTCGCCGCGCCCCTGGCGGCTTCTTCCGCGCAGCGCAACTCTCGATGCTCTTCACCCGCCGCGCTGGCATGGCGACGGCGTCCCGCGGCGTCACGGCGCCGTTGCGTCGCTCGTCGGCGTCGCTTATCTCGGTGACGCAGTGCGTCGTGCGCGCGTCGACGACGCAGAGTCGCGTCGCGCGCGTCGCGTCGCGGCTGAGGTTGCGCAGCTCGACGTTGACGGCGCGGCTGGTGGCGCTGCGCCACAGCGTCAGACAGATGCGCACGTAGATAAACGTGATGACGCAGAGCGGCGTCACGTACCACAAGACGATGTTGGCGACGTCGTAGTACCAGATGAACTCGTGGTTCAGTGAGCACAGGTGGAAGTCAGCGCCGATGACGATGACGCGAGACAGTGCGAACTTCCATGCATTGTTACTCATCGCCAGCACCCAGATGACGACGATTGTTACCACGAGGCGACGTTGCGTCAGAAGCTGACGGCACTTGAACGGCATGAGAATGGCGAGGTAGCGCTCGATGGCTATCACGACCAGGATGAGAACGGACGCCGTGTAGCTGGTGCCCATCACAAAGTTGTAGAGTCGACACATGAACGTTCCTAGCGGCCAGTGCTTCCACAGGCGCGTATAGAGGTTGGGATAGACGCAGAAGATGCCGACGCACATGTCGGCAAAGGCGAGGTTAGCGAGAAAGAAATTTGTTGTCGTGCGCATCTTCTGGTGCGCCAGAATGACGACGATGACGAGCAGGTTACCTGTGGAGACAAACCCGTGAGACATAATACCTCCGCGTATAGAGTAGCGATAGAGAGAGGGTTAGTATTACGGTCAAGGTTAAGGTTAGGGTTAGGGTTATGGTTAGATAATTGCTAGAGCTAGAGTTACGATTGCGGTTAGGATTAGGGTTATGGTTATAGTTAAATAATTGCTAGAGCTAGAGTTAGGGTTAGGGTTAAGATTATGGTTAGGGTTATGATTAGGGCTAGGGTTTCAGTTAGGATTAATGTTAGGGTTAATGATTAGGGTTATGGTTAGGGTTAGGGTTACGGTTAGGGTAAGGGTTAGGGCTAAGGTTAGTGTTAGGATTAGGGTTAGGGTTAGGGATAGCGATTGGGTTAAGGTTAGCACGTACAACCTAGTAGAATGTCATTATGAATCGGTCGCGTGAGCCCCGTGTAAGTCCTCTTGACATCAGCTCACCTTTATATAAAAGACGAGTTTAAGTATGTTTAGGAATTTCTTAAACACACCGTAGCTTAGGTATATAATTAGCTGGGTAAAGTATGACGAGTGGCCTCTAATGCATGTTTGAGAAGATTGGGTGAAGAGATGGGTGTAGATAACTCGTATCACGTGTAAAGCCGTCAAACGTTAATTTGCACAAATTAGGCAAATGAGAACACGTAGAGCCGCTGCAATGCATGCAATTATCGGGCTGCCTTCGCAAATTAGTCGCTTAGACTGTAATAAAATACGAGACGGAAGAAACTCAAAACTCGTGATGAAAATTTGCGAAATTAATGAACCGGACATCGTCTAAAGTGGAATGGACGTTGTTTGTCCAGAGAGACGCGGGGTGCTTACTGAGCGACACACTTTCATTTTTGTTAGCTTAATTAACTTTTTGCAAAAACAAACTTGAGAATAATAGACTTTGCCACTTCGTCATTATTATGAGGCGCTCTAAATGTGACGCAAATCTGCTTGCTTGAAAAGGATTTTTGGTGGCTACGCGTGACTGCAAGCCGTACTTTTAATAAGAACCGAAGTATGAAATAATCTACTGTCGAACTATCCACTGATGTTTGGCATTCTTACACTTGAATATACTTATAAGCGGTTAAATAATATTGATGTCTTGTTGACATATTTAACACCAAAACTGATCATCTTTGTCTCACATGGGTCTGCGATGGCACCGTATACAAAAGCTACAGTATCGACAGACAATTATGGCCGTCAAAATTCCATTTCTTTTCTTGCATTTTTGATTGACCTATCTGTCAATCGCGATTGATAGGAAACTCGATCAGCATCGCAGTAAGTGCATTAAGCTCTAATCGCGATGCTTGGCAAAGAAGTGCTAAAATGTCGACATTTTCGCGTGACCGCGTAAAAATTATGCATAAACCGGTATATAGCTTGACTGACTCGAAAATTTGTCGAGCAAAATTGTATGTCTCGCATAGTATTTTTTCTTAATAAATTAATCTAGAATCTCTGTGCCCAGGTAAATAGAAGGTGGAAATGGCGAGTAAGACATCGCTACCGTTATGCAATCGCCACGTTATAGGCAGCAGCCGATTAACACACAAGCAGCAGAAAGAAGAAGAGGCCGACTTGTGTGTGTGTGTGTGTGTGTGTGTGTGCGTGTGCGTGTGCGTGTGCGTGTGCGTGTGCGTGTGCGTGTGCGTGTGCGTGTGCGTGTGCGTGTGCGTGTGCGTGTGCGTGTGCGTGTGCGTGTGCGTGTGCGTGTGCGTGTGCGTGTGCGTGTGCGTGT